AGTAAAATCGTAAAATGGAAATGAGTAACCGACCTTTCTAGACCTTTCTTCCCCTTTTCTCAAAGTGACCTGAGTTTATTCGTAATGTAATGATTTGCAAAAATATTAAAAATATTCTTCTACCTAAAATCAAATTTTCTAAAATATACCTGATCAACTGGCTAAAATAAAAATACGATCAACTACAGACGCATCATAACGTGTTGCGAAAACTAATTCTAAACGAGAAAAAATAATTTTTTCCTACTAGCGTGTGTAAAGTACTCACATTACGCACTATTCAGAAGACGTGAAATTCACTCCACACACTAATGCGTAATGTCAATGACAAATGTCGACACTTTCAATTTAGTATTTTTCTGGTAAATTATTTCACGCACTAGTGCGTAAAGTGAAAATACTTCATGCACTAGTGCGTAAAGTATTTGTCTAAACCTATTTTTTTACACATATTTGATTGGTAGTAGAAAAAAAATTGTATGCAATACGTACGTGCATGAAACAACTTTTTTCACTCATGTAATCATGTGTCGTCAAAATTCACATTCGTAAAAAAAGGTTCACTTTACACACTTGCTGTGACTTTATTTTATAAAGAAGTTTTTTTTTTTTTTGACAGTTTGGGGTTGAATTTCCCCCCTTCAACCCCGAGATAAGCATGTGCTTTTTTGATATTTTACTCGTATCCACCCAAGCAATAATTCGACCAACTTTGAAACTGCTACAAAATTTTTCAAAGAAGTTTGGTTTTTTTCGCCAACTTTGGGGTTGAATTTACCCCCTTCAACCCCGAGATAAACATGTGCTTTTTTGATATTTTACTCGTATCCACCCAAGCAATAATTCGACCAACTTTGAAACTGCTACAAAATTTTTCAAAGAAGCTTTGTTTTTTTTGACAACTTTGGGGTTGAATTTTCCCCCTTCAACCCCGAGATAAACATGTGCTTTTTACATATTTTACTCGTATCTGTTCAAGCAATATTTCCACCAACTTTGGTGGTGCTACAAAATTTTCGATATCTGATCTCATTTACATTTTTGGGGCGCAATCTACCCCCTTTAACCCCTCCCTGTACAAATTATTTTTTAGTATGTGACGTACATCACTCCCAGTATTATTTCCACCAAGTTTGATGATGCTACCGAATCTTTTAGTATAGTTTTTTTCATTTATTTTATTTGTGGCACTACTTATTTGGTCGACTGTAAAAACATGATTTTCATTTCTGAATCTGTTGCTAACTTCAGCGACATTACTTTCCGCCAACACCGTAAGTGGTATTTTATTTATTATTTCTTTCTCGAATTGTAAGATTTAGAAGTTACATATTTTTGCCTTATATTTAATCCCATTATTCTAGCAAGTAAGAACTTATTTGAAACTTATGATTATCTTTATTATTTGAACTCAATATCCAATTATCTATCAAATAATTATATTTTCGCTTTAGGATCGGATTTCTAACAAAAGTCCGACCCGACAATATTATGAACGTAAATGCAGATAATAAAAATAATACTCTCAAGGTTAAGCTGACCTAGATGACCTTGAAGATAATAATGTATTAGTGTGACTAAACTTGATTACCACCTATATTACATAAAAAAGTACACTCAGGTTGAAATGACCTTTAAAACCTTGATGCATACTTCTTATTGCGATTTCCATTTGTGAATCAGTGCCCAATGAGTGTATCCCCATCTTTTTCTAGAAGCATGTAACGTGTAAGGATATTGATATTTTTTTTTTTGCACTGGTTCGACAAATGGAAATCGCTATTAGTAACGTATAAGGTTTTCAGAAATTGCCTTCCGTGCCTACTCCTACCTCGTCTTGACCTCTATGAACGATATAAACCACAAGAATAGGACTCTCATAATTTATTCGCTCGAATACCACCGCTATTATAAGCATCTTATTATTCTTATTCGCAAAAAAAAAATACCTCATACTCTCTGCGACTTATGGTATCTACTTGGAACGACAAAAAATAAAAGATATATTGCTGGTCATGCCATCGCAGTAAATGTGGGACGTGTGCATTGCACACGCCTACACAGGTTGTGACACGGTAACTTTTTCTGCAAACAAGGGCCAAAACTGGCATGGATGATCTGGAGGGATGAAGAGATCACCACAGCATTTGAATATTTGAGCAGTAGAAGTAGCTGCTATATTTTTCTTGCTAACGTTTTAAAAGGCATAGAAAGATTCACTGTGTTTATGTACGACATAAACAGTGAATCTGTTAGTGTCGACGAGACTCGAGAATCTCTTTTCTGCTCTGGAGAGCGACCACTCTACTCAGTTCAACTCCTCTGTCCTAAGCTAGCGTTCTGAAACAAGCCAAAAGGGCAGCTTATCAAGCTGGACTAATTAATATGAGGCAGATCCAGATCGCTTTCGATACAAGAAAAGATTCCATCTCGTGAATACTAGGGCTGGACCTTGATGAGCAATAATAAATGGACTCCAAAATGAAGTGAGCTTCTGTGTGGAAGGAGTTGCGAGGCATAAAAAAATGCAATTGTAAGACAGGATGTGATACTATGAGGTGTTCCTGTCACCACCTTAGTCTCCCTTGCATTCCTGCTTGTGGTAGCTACTTGCAAAGGAAGTTGTAAAGACAAAAAGGCTTGATTTATTTTAGATAACCACTTCAAGTTAATAAGGAACTTGACGCTTTTTTTTCTTTTTTTTTTTTTTAATTGATTCCTCAACACGTTCGGAACTGATCTGTGCAAACAAAATTTGAATATCATCAAAATTAACAAAGTTACAGCAGTAAAAAGACTGATAATATGTGATGTCATTCCATAGTATCAGTATCGTAATAAGTCAATGCGAGTAGAGACAGCAACATCATTTCTGAAAATTCGTAAGGATTGTATTTTTGAATAAATTCGAAAAATTTGGCGAAAATGTCCTTATTAATATCTGTACCTTCCATTTATTTGATCAAGGCCCGGTTTATTCATCTTCAGATAAACTTGCTGGTAACTATCTGCAAGATAAATTTACCGTTCTATAATCTTTTTGGTTGGCCGACCAATGGGATTACAGAGTGCGTTTTTATCCGTTAGATTGCATACTTGACAGTTTATCAGAAGGTGGATAAACCGGCGCCAAATGTAATGATTGTTATTTCCTGCAAGTTCCCTCTTCACTGCAAAAAGTTTGTTGACTTTAGTTTTGTATGGATACAAATTTTGTATAAATTCATTTTTTGAAATCTTTATCCTCAAATTATTTACCAAAATTATTTACAATACAATATGTTTATTGATATTTTTCAAGGTTAATTGACGTCATATCAGTTTCAAAACTATATTTTTTGATATGTTCTTCCTCAAATTATATACGATAAACTATAATCATGCCTGCATTGCTAAGACAAACTTTAACTTTGAAACTTTGGCAGCTATTTTTAAAAAAAATATTTTTTGACCTCAATTGACTTTTTTGAGGCCATCCATAGGTCATAGCGGTCTTAAACTAGTTTTCTATTATTCTGCGTCCCCGAAATATATCGACTAGAACTTGTCTACCCAGAATGAAAATTGAAATTAAAAAATTGACCGCCATTTTGAAAAAAAAAAATTCAGTACCAATGAGAAAAGTCGATGGGTCCTCGACTCAAATCGATTAAAATGGTCTATTTAGCAACTGTGCCAAATTTCATGCTTCTATCATCAAATGGCGTTTTTTTCGCTAAGCAACCGTACTATAAGCCCCAAATATAACTATAAATGACCATTTCTTGCAGAATGTAGAACACTAGTAGTGTTACACTTCCCATAGCATGGGTTCCATCTGACATCAAATGCAACTATTGACGCCGAAATCCAACATCGCTTGAAGTGTGCTAGCGCAGCGTTCGGGCAACTTCTGGAGAGAGTCTTCAACGAACATGGCATCAGCGCTGACACCAAACTTCGCGTCTACAGTGCAGTTGTAATACCAACACTTACTATGGCTACGAAACATGGACCACCTACAGAAGGCACATCAAAAGTCTAGAAAAATACCACCAGCGATGCCTAAGAAGGATCCTTCGGATTAATTGGCAAGACCGACGAACGAACATCAGTGTTTTAGAGGAGGCCAAAGCAACTAGCATGGAAGACTTCATCATTAAGGACCACCTTCGCTGGACAGGTCACCTCGTGTGCATGTCGGAAACACGTCTTCCACGACAGATTCTTTACAGTTAACTGAAAGAGGTCAACAAAAACGCTTCAAAGATTTTCTTAGGGAAAATATGGCAAAGTGCCGCATCGATACCAATAACTGGGAGACGACGGAAAATGATAGGCCCTTATGGCGTCGAGTAGTCCATGACGGACCACGAACTTTTGAAGAACAGTGACGCAGACACGAGACCGAAAAAAGGGACCGCATGGAGTAAGAGAACAGAGGAAGAGACAATGCTAGAGGCTGTGTGTGCCAAGATTGTAGCAGAGTGTGCGGTTCCAGAATTGGATTATATAGCCATCAGAGAACGCACAATGGACAACATATTATTGAGAATAGAATAGAAGATGATCATACTCGGTATCGAGTGATCGCCTATGATGATCATGATGACAAATATTGCAGTTCTGTGGCTGTGGCTGAGGGCAAATAAAATTTGCCTATTGACGGGCTCCCTACTGCAATTCTGTAGCCTTAAGCCTAGTACTCATAACTGCAAAATTCGCTCTTTTTTGACATTGCTTCGACATTTTGACGTTTGATTCGCAGTTGTGAGTACAAGGCTTTATTCTGTAACTTGCGACCGCAGAGAATTGCGCAATTGTCGCTGTCAAGTTGTTGTCAAACGCGAGTTTTCCGGTTGCTGGTTGCTATGTAATTGCTGTTCGTAGAGAATAGGCCTGCTGGGCGCATCTTAGGCACCTACTTCATCACTAGATAACTCTCAGAGTCAGAATTTATCGCGCAAACGTTTCTAGTGCATTATTTAGCTAGTAACAGTTAGTAAATAAAAATATCTTACTTCAGCGCAGTTGAATCTGCCAATTTTAACTCCAACGTTAACGTATCTCCAGAAGTTAAGTAGCTCTCCGCCAGGCTGCAAGGTCTTGGAAATCTAGTTGAATTGGATAGAAGATAATGCTCGCAGCTTTTTGGTACGTGTTCTCTACAGAATCTGGCTAGTAGCGTTACATTTTTGCCACCTTTTGACGAGGGGCTCGTTATTGTCTTGGTTATAGCGTTGCTTGATGAATAATTGTCCAAATTGTATTTTTCCTTACTCCCGCTGCAACAATAGACCTATTTAGATTATTTTTTTTACCTAAAAATAGTTTACATTTAGCTATACCTAGTGCTTGATATAATCTAACCGGTCGGTGGTTGAATGTCATGAAACTTCTATAAGAATTCAAATAACAAACGTTTTAATTTGAACATCGTTTCACTCTTTATCGGATCAAAAAATGGCACATTACCCATGAGATTTTAGGCACGCCCTGTTTTCAGAAATGTATTTAATATTTTTTTGGGGCGATCTAATTTTATTGGAAATCATTATATTTTTATGTATTTTATATTAATTAATTAACAAGAAGATTGATTCAAAAACACCAACATTTTATTTTCTTTGTAATAACAATACAACACACTTCTAGCTTAAATCAAAGAGAAACTAACTAATTGAATTCACTGGCAGCAAATAACTAAGTTTCTCGTATGCTTTAACCATAAGTGCAAGAAGATAATCTGTATCACAAGCTATATTAGTTCATAATAATTTCAAAGCGTTACCACAATATTATAGTCACTTAGCTGGATTTATAGATAAAGCGGTTTATTGGAAATTGATAATAGACATTAAATTATAATTACTAATAATGATGATTCAGAAGTGGAAATTACAGTAAGTTTATTTGCAAAAATTAAATAAAAACGGTTAAATATATAACTTGATTATACTTGAATATATTTGTAAGTAATATTATTGTAAATAACCATTTTTGTTGGTTATCTGAATTTTTTTAATTTTCCTCCTGCTACTTATTAACGTAGGTATTTTTTTTAACAACTACGCCGATTAAATCTGAATAGAATCAATGCCATACTCAACTGACATAATTCTGCAAACAGACATATTGAAGTAATAAGTAAAAATTGGCTATTTTTATTATGACCCCAATAATAGTTGGACCAAATTTGTATAAATGATTAAAGTATAACCATTATCAATTGAAAATCGCATCTCTATGGTGACTACTCAAAATTAGAAAAATACCCCTTATAATAATATAAAATAATTTTTATATTTTTATGCCTAGTCCTGGTACACTATAACAAAGACACCGCACGCCGGCAAAAAAACTTGAAAATTGTTGGCGATGCCGCTAGGCTTTGTCACTTGCCGACAAAGCTAAGCCGCTCTTGTTGACAGTGTGAGATATTCTCTTTAGAAGTGGACAAAAGTATAAAATTACACAGATAATTGAATAAAAATCAATTTCAAATTTGAATTTTTAATAAAGGAATAATAGTCCCATTCAAATATTTATATTTGATTTATTTCAATAGTTTAAAACGGAATTTTAAGGATTACCTACTATATGAATTTTGCCCATTTATTTAACGTATTAACTCCACTGTATTCTAGAGGTAAATCAGCTAGAATTTCGGGGCAATGGCGTTCGTCATTTCAGTTTTTATAGAAATATCTGAAGTATGTTTATTCTTTATTAACCAATTTGTTTTCATTTGTCATGATAATAATATTTAGACGCCTATGGATTCCCACGTGACTTCAAAGAGATCAACTTATCTTAATTATCACTTTCAATGTGCTCAGTTAAAAGACCAACTGTATAAAACCATTAATGATTGTGCAAATTTGTTCTGGTATTGTGATGACTGTGTCATATTGGTTGATGAAAGATTGAATATAGCGAAAAGAATGGGAAACTTAGAACAGCAAGCAGAGGATAATAAAAGAACAACCACTGAAATTCTCACCAGATTGGAAACTACAACATCAACAACAGAAAAAAACGAAAATCAATGGTCAACTATTGTTAAAAAGAAAAAATTTCCACCATTGATAATAAAACCGAAAAATATCAACCAAAACAGTACTACTACAAAAAGTGTCATCACGCAAAAAATTAAACCTTCGGATTTATCGGTGGAAGTAAAAAAATTTAAACCGGTAGGCCAAGGTAGTGTTGTGATTGAGTGCAATGATAGGAAATCCCTGCAAAAACTGCAAAACAAGGCAGTCGCTGAACTTTCTGATAACTATACAATAGAAATTCCAAAAATAGGAAATCCCAAGGTAATTATCGTTGGTATACAGGAAGCATATTTAAATACAGAGGAGGACTTTATTCAGAGAGTAAAAAACCAAATATGCCTTTCGACATTTGGTGAAAATACAGTCAACTAGTCAAAAAGTACATACCAAAGAGTAAACGGTTGTATAACGTAGTCTTAGAAGTAGAGCCAGAGGTTTTTAAATGTTTGCTTAAGCAAAAAAGAATGTTTATAGACTGGGAAAGTGTACCGATTTATGAGTACATTGGGGTTTTGCGTTGTTATAAGTGTTGGAAGTATGGCCACAAAGCTATGCACTGTCAGCAGCCACATGATGTATGTCCATTATGTAACCAGGATCATAAAAGTGAAGATTGTAAATCAACAGTAAAGGAATGCACTAATTGTAAATATGCTCACGAGACTCTGAGGATTCCAAACATAGATTTTAGGCACACTGTTTTTGATAGAGACTGCGTCTGTTATCAAAGGGCACAAGAAAGAGCTAAATCTAGGACCCAATACGTATAGCCACCAAAAAACAGAGACAACGCATCTTTATCAATAAATAGCGGGTTGATTTTGCATATGAATATCCAAGGACTTACATCACACATTCTAGAGGTAAAACAATTGTTACAGAGTCGAGACCCAATAATTGTTTGTGTCAGTGAAACCCACATTACCCCAGAAATTAATGATGAAGAGGTGTCTGTGCCTGGCTATAACGCAGTGTTTTGCTACTCGAACAGTAGACACACTGGGGGGTACCGTTATTTACGTAAAAAAGGTTCTAAATTGGACAGTGATTTGCAATGACGCAGTTGATTACAGCTATTGGGCACTGTTTATAAGGGTGCATGTGAGTGAAGATGCTTTGGTAGTGGGAGCCATCTACAGATCCCCAAATGGAAACTGTAGGGAGTTTTTAGATTACTTGGGCACAAAACTTGAGGAGGACAGTTTTCAAACTCTAAAAATAGTGATTTTAGGAGATCTGAATATTGACTTTATAAAAAACGACAGTGACGCCAAAAATTTGAAAAAAATTATAGTGGCTGCTGGACTTACACAAATCGTGAAAAAAGAAACAAGGATCACTAATAAATCGCCCACACTAATTGATCTCATTATTACCAACGATTTTAATGCCAGCGAAGTTTCAAGAGATTTTCCACTATTGAGTGACCATGAAATAGTTGGTACGGAATTAGAATTTGTAGACACCTCTGTTAAAAAAGATTTTATTTACAAAAGAAATTTAAGTGGCGATAACATTTCTAACTTAGTAGTAGAATTGATAGGAGCGAACTGGAATTACACCTCTACAGATGTGAACGTTATTTATTCGGATTTTATAAATATTATCCAAAAGGCAGTGAATAAAATAGCTCCAAGACAAAAGCATAACATCGTTACAAAATATCCATGGATTACAAAAACAGTTAAAGAGGCGCAAAAGAAGAGAGACAGAGCATATGCAAAGTTTATTTTGATAAGGAATGACGAAGATTGGAGAGAATATCAAACCGAGCGTAACAGAGTTACTTCGGTATTACGCACTGAAAAAACAAAGCACTATGATCAGAATATAGACAGATGCAAAGGAGATGGGAAAAAGATGTGGAGAACACTAAAGGAACTAGTAGGAAATAATAAAGGACAGACGGATTTCACTAATATTGATTACGGAAAGTATAATGGGCCAATAGAGGAAAACTTTAATAATTTTTACGCTGATAGCATAGGAGAGATTTCAGATAGTATAGAAAAAATGAATTGGAATTCTAATATAGATAAAAATGATGGATATAGCATTGCTAATTTTAAACTGCTCAACTTGTCGCAGCTTAAAAAAACTGTGTATGGTCTTAAAAATAAAAGTTCCAGTGATGAATCGCTAAGTATCAAATTGGTAAAGGACCTCTTCTGTGTAATAGGTTACCCTCTTCTTTATATTGTAAATGCCTCTCTACAAACAGGAAGAATACCCGGGGAATTGAAAACTATTGTTATAGTTCCCATACCTAAGGTTTCCAAACCAAAGGTCCCAGCCGAATTTAGGCCAATCAACTTACTGCCTGTAGTGGATAAAATTATCGAAACAATTATTGTCTGTCAACAATTGAGACATTATTTTGAGAGTAACCAGTTGTTGTTTGTGGGACAGTCTGGATTCAGGAGCAACCATTCGTGTGAATCGGCCCTACAGTATGTATGTGCAACATGGCGAAAGGAGATAAATGAAGAGAAAGTGGTACTCAGCGTGTTTGTGGATTTGCAGCGTGCGTTTGAAACAATCGATCGAGGTATACTTATAGAAAAGTTAGAATTATATGGTTTAAATGGCAGCGTATTAGATTGGATAAAGGATTATCTCAATAACAGGTATCAAATAACTAAAGTAGATAATAAGCTTTCAAAAAAGAGAGAAAACAAATGGGGTGTCCCGCAAGGAAGTGTCCTGGGCCCTCTACTATTTGTTTTGTATGTTAATGATATTCACATTCATTTAAAAAAATCATTTATCAATTTATTTGCGGATGATACCCTTATATGTGTAGCAGGAGATGACTTTAGAGAAATATCGATTACTCTTAACGACGAACTAAAAATCATGTATGACTGGCTCTGCCAGAATAAATTGAAACTAAACACATCAAAGACAAAATGTATGGTAATAGGTTCAAAGACAAATTGTAGGAAATATGCCGAGCTGGGATTAGCTCTCAACATAAATGGCTCTAAAATTGATTTTGTTTCTGAAATAAAATATTTAGGCATTTTTTTAGATCCTCAACTTAGTTTTTCTAATCAGGTAGATTATCTTTGTAGAAAGCTAGGTAAAAAAATTGGTTTTTTCCATCGCATTTCAAACTGTTTGTCACGATGGGCTAAGACACTTGTTTATAACACAATTATCTTACCGCATTTAAATTATTGTTGTTCCCTATTGATATCGTGTACTCAGGAAAATATTAACAGACTGCAAATTCAGC